GGAGGGGGGAGGCTGGGAAGGGATGTGAAGGGTAAACAAAGGAGGAGGCTGCAATGCTTGGTAAGAAATGTACGCATTATCCTGCCCATGTAATTGTAACTCTTCTGTATAGCATGTTCACAAATAAAATAAAAATTAAAAAAAAAATATATATATATATATTTGGGAGGTCTACTCATGCTCTTTTTCCTTTAGGTACCATCCATTTTATTTGTAGAGGAAGGACTCTTCCCATTATACGCAGTTCCGTCAAAACCCAGACAAAAATGCTGGGAAGATTACTTTGGAGACAGAGAAAATCGAGGATGAGATTGAATGGGCAGTTCACTTATCTGTAGAATCGGTGAGGATTTTTACCACTAATTAATGTTGAAAGTGTGAGCCTCAGACCCTGGAGAGAGACAAAGGCACTTGAATTTAATTTTGTGAAACCAAACCTCTTTTCTTCTTGATAGACTGTCAGTCATGGATGGAAGGCTGTAGAAGATGTCGCTGGAAAAGTCTCATCAGAACAGATTTCAATCACCCAAGAAACCCCAAGAGACTAGAGGCACCAGGGCCGGTGACAAAACTCTCCATTACAAGTCAACCTATAGATTCCTGAGAGTCAGAAAAGGAAGTGAAACACCTCTGAAAACAGCTTTGTTAACAACAAATCGATCCATGGCAACGAAAGACTGGTTGTTAGAACAAGGACGGGAGGAGGAGGAAGAAGATGAGGCACATGCATCTGGTCTAGAGGTTCAGGAAGACTTCCTGAGAGAAAACAACCCTGATCCAAATCAGAGATTCAAGACCTATCCCCAGGGGAACCTGAGTGGCAAGAGAAAGAAATTATTGAACTTAGATTACCTGAAAAAGGACAAAAATGTGAAACTTGGACCTTCACTCAGGACTACGTCTAACAGACACCCCAACCGAGATGAGATTTTCCCTTCCACCTTGTCTGCCGTTGCTAGAAGGAATATCCTATTTTCACCAGAATGGAAGCAAAGCCAGGACCACCCAAGCTGGGACACCACCCATGGGGCTCCCCTGGAGTCCCACCAGAGGGAACAAGGCGGGGGCTTCCCCAATTTGGGGAACACCTGCTACATGAACGCCATCCTGCAATCTCTGTTCGCAATCCCATCATTTGCTGAGGACTTACTCACACAAGACTCCTGGATGAAAATTCCCTTGGATGCTCTGATTAGGCCCTTGAGCCAGCTGCTTCTCTGGAAAGATCTTTCCAAGGTAGAGACCAAGGCAAAGTTACTTCTGAGTATTAAAAAGGCCATTTCGGCCACTTCCGAGATCTTCTCCAGCAACCTGCAGAATGATGCTCATGAATTTTTAGGCCAATGTTTAGAGCAGCTGAAGAAGGACAGCGAGGACATGAACAGGATTTGGAGCACAGAGAGGGAAATGGAGCACAAAGACTCACCTGTGCTGAGGCACACGGGGGATGCTGCTATCCCAGCTTCCTTTTGTCCCGTGGCCGCGAATTTTGAATTGGAACTGCAGGTTTCCATCACTTGCAAGGCCTGTGGTCAGATGACGCTCATGACAGAACGGAGTGATTATCTCTCCATCAACCTATGCCAGGAAGACACCCCTCTTCCTCCATCTGTCCAGAGCTTGCTCGATCTTTTCTTCAAGACCGAAGACGTGGAGCGCATGTGTAAGGAGTGTGAGCACCCATGTGCTGTGCTGCGGTACAGGATTAGTCAGCTCCCCAGAGTCCTCATTGTTCACCTGAAACGCTACAGCCTGGATGACTGCTGGCAGCCAGTGAAGGACAGTCAGGGCATTAGGATTCCCAGGTATTTACGCTTATCTCCTCACTGCACTGACAACCCTCGGCTGCCACAGGCCTTACGCAGACGGGCTCCTGTGCGGGAGGACCAAGTCCCGGAAGTCCTTCAAGACTGGACTTGGGAGACCCCCAGCTGGCCCATGAGGTTGGCACCTAGCGGTCCCCTCACTGTGCCTGTGGGACCTGAAGAGGAAGCTGAACAACAGCCATTCTGGACAACAGGTTTCAGAGGAGGAACAAGGCACCAGCAGGCACAGAGTGGCATTGGGGATGGTGATGCACTGGAGCCACAGCTGCGAGACTCTGGATCCAGGGTGCTAGAGGGAGAGCGGCTGCCGGCCCCCACCTCTCCTGTGGACCAGGATGAGGTCTCGCCCTGTGTGATCTGTGAAGATGAAAGTGGGCCAGTTAGCATCCCACACCCACATCCCGGACATATGCAGCCTCTACCAGTCCCTGAAAACCCAGAACTTAAGAATTGTGAGGAAACCATCCTGCCTAGGGAGTTAGATCTTGATAGCATCCTTGAATTATTGGAAGGGTCTTATGACCATAAGGAAAAGGAGAGTCTGGAAGAAGGTCAGAGAACAGCTGACCAGTTCCACCAGGACAATCAGGAGAGAATGAATGAAGCACTGCTTCAGTGGGTGCTGGCTTGCCGGGGGGAGAGCCTGGAGCCCGCAGACAAAGACCTGAGTGAGTTTTCAGAATTGAGACTGCACAAGACTGACCTGGCTTCTGACAAGAATCCTGAAAATAAAGACATTTCAGAAAGTGAGAGCTCCGAGATGGAGGGCGAGGGCCCCAACTCCTTGCAGGCAGAAGCTCCTCTCCCAGCTTACCGTCTCATCAGCGCCGTCAGCCACCTTGGGGGCTCCCAGAACTCAGGCCACTACATCAGCGACGTCTACAACTTCAAGAGTCAGGCGTGGTTCACCTTCAGTGACCTGCAGGTGTCCAGAGTTCCTGAGGCCGTAGTTCGGGAGGAGAGGCTGCATTGCGGGTACATCTTTTTTTACATGCACAACGAGATATTTGGAGCCCTGTTGGGAAGACAGCAGACCACAGCTGGCCACCCCTCTGGGGACTCCAAGGAAGGTGGGTTTTCACGGACAGCCCACTCTCCCACCTTCCAGATGAAGAAAACAGCAGCTCCTACAGTTAGATAGATCAGAGGTCAGCTCATTCTCTCCTACAGTTAGAGCAAAGGTCAGCTCATTCTCTCCTACAATTAGAGTGAAAGTCGTAATGTTTGAATGGGGTAGGTTTGAAAATACAGTTCTTGATCACCAACCGGGCAGCGGCAAGAGACTGGTTAGAAATGCCAATGTTGGGATTCAACTCTAGAACAACTGGGAGACCCTACGATTTCTGCAAATGCCCCCACTCCAAAACTTGAGGACCTCTTCTTTAGTGTGTGGGATATCTTGGTTTACTTTGGTAGTCCACACACGAATCATGTAGGTCCTGAAGCCAGATTAAACCCACCCCTGTAATTCTATCTTTGTAAACTTATTTTTAAAAAAAAGCCAATCAACAAGGAAGCCCCCCGGTAAGCTCAGTGACACCTTGTGGCTACAGGACCTAGCACGGTGGGTTATTTTATCTTCTGTTCTGTGGGAAGTAGGAAGTCTTTTCATGTGGGTCCCCCACCATTTGGTGGGGTAAAATGTAATCATCCGATCCTGATGCTGAATAACTGTGTCTGTCTTTTAAAAATTTTTTAAATTAAAAATCACACATCACTGGTTGCCTTCTGCTTGTGTTTGTGACTCATTATTGGCCAACTTCTCTGGCTAGAAAACCCATATATTATATATATGTATATGTATGCACACATATACATATTATACATTATATGCATATATACGTATATAATTTATACATACAGATGTATATATGCACATATGTATATAATGTATGCATATAAGCAAAGGTGGCCTCCAGTAGCCTATGAAAGTACACCAAATCCCCGGCCAGCCGGGCACCTGTGCTGCTCCGTGGGCGGACACCCGAGGACTACGGTTCGAAGCCAGCCTGGGATGGAAGGTTCCTGGGAGTCTCATCTTCGGCGAACCACTCAGAAGAAAGCCGGCCCCAGCGGTAGAGCGCCAGGCTTGAGCATAAGCAGCGCCGGGCTGGCGCCTGGGCCCCGGGTTCGAGCCCCGGGACCGGCGTTGCATCCGCGCAAAGAACTTGAGGTAAAATCCAAGCGTGTCAAGTCCGGAGACGGGCCCCGGCTTCGGGAGGGCGGCCGGGTTGGTCCCAGCGCCTGCGGACGTGTCCCCCGGACCAAGGTCGGTGGCGGCCCGGGAGCTCGCCCACAGCCCGACGCTCGGCCTCCAGCCATGGACACCCTGAAAACTACACTACCCAGAAGGCTGTGCTTTGCGCATGGGCGAGGAGCCAGGACCGCCTCCGCCGGGGGGCGGGACTTCCGGGTTGTTCGCCGCCAGCCTCATTGATACCGGGACTGGGTCCGGATTTGGTGCCGGGGCGGCGCTGAGGAGTATAGCGGCCGGGGCCGGGGCCGGGGCCGGGCCGGGGCCGGGCCGGGGCCATGAGGGCGTGCGTGCGTCCTCCCGCGGGGACGACGGCGATGGCGGCGGCGCGCACGCAGGTGAGCTCAGCGGGCGCGGGGCGGCTCACGCCCGTAATCCCCGCCACTCGGGCTGAGCCGTAAGGGTGGCGGTTCGAAGCCAGCCCAGGCAGAAACGTCTGGGACCCGCCGAGCAGCGGAGCGCTCGCCTCAGCGCGGGACGCCAGTGGCAGCGCCCAGCCCTGTGCTCGGCCGATGACTGAATGAGGGAGCGGTGCTTTCCTGAATACCCGGAGAGGCGGACGATCCCGACCGACGAGGGAGACAGGGGCTCACGGCCGACCGAGGGGGAGGCTCTTCCGCCAGCCGCTGAGATGAGCACGAAGCCGGCGGATCTTTCCAGCCAGGCGTCCTGGTTCTAGGGCCTGCCATGATCCTTGCGCGCTAGGGCTCCCTGGCCGGGAAGGGCACTCTGCTGCAGGATCGAGGACAAATCTAGAGCTTGGGAAAAGGGTCCCCACGCTCCCTGAGCTATTTTCCGTGAGGTCTGTGGTGCAGGCAGCCTCTGCTTGCTCCAACACAGGTACAGAAACACTTCGAGGTACAACAGAACGTACCTAACTTGATCGCACTATCGCCTCCTGCCCACCTCTCACAGTCTTTCTGTTCTTTGATTTTCTCTGATGGCTCCTCCTTGGGAAGGGTCTCTCCCTTCCCGACTCTATGCCCAAAGCAGGGTCTCCTTGGTGTTTGAGTCCAGTGCAGAGCATAGACCACAGGATGTACTGAGGGACCCAAAGCTCTGGGACTTCTCTCTGCATTATTTTCAGAAGGAACAGTAAGGATTGTGTCTCATTCAACAGTCCTAAGGTCAGCACTACTACTGTTTGACTTCGCAGGTGTCTGTGACCTTTGATGATGTGGCTGTGACATTCACCCAGGAGGAATGGGGGCAGCTGGACCCAGCTCAGAAGACCCTGTACCAGGAGGTGATGATGGAGACCTTTGGGCTCCTGGCCTCACTGGGTAAGGCCATCTCCCTTCATGGTGCGGTGAACCTGCCTCTTTCCCTTCCACCTTCTGCCCCCGGCTTGGCTGACCCAGGCCTCTGCACTCAGCTTTACCCCTCACCTGTGGCTGCAGTCATTTCCTGTGTGCAGATCTCCCTGCTTCACACAGGTCAGGGCAGAGCATATGCTTTGTGTGCACTTATCTAATGCGAAGGAACTGTTTCTCCATCCAAACTGTGTGCATTCTGCTCTGTGCTCGAGGCATGCCAGATTCAACCTGTTCCCAGTCACCTCTAGCCTGTGAGCCTGTCCTGAGGGTGGCAGGCAGGTCCTCCTCACTAACGGGAAGTGCTCTGTCTTTGCATGACTCCTAGGCTACGCGCCTGGCCTCTTTCTTTATGGCCAGAAGGACTTTCTTCTTGAGACTTCTTCTGCCACCAGCTGCAAGCTCAGAATTTTCCGAACTGTTCTCAGGCTTGCTGACTTGTTAAAATGACTTGCCTAATTCTCAAAGACCTGTTATACAGTCATGCTTATTACTGACAAAGGGTAAAAATGCCAGGGATGGAATGTTCTGATTCTATGACCTCAGGTTCGTATTCTGTCACCACCCCAGAGACTACCCAGAGCTGCCTGCCTGCCCGCCCTCCTGTCTGCTTTCCTGCCTTTGGGGTCAGGAGCTCTTCTGAAGCTCCCTCACTTGGGCCCAGGTGGTAGTTCTTCCTCTTGCAGCTCAGTCTCCACTGCTGATGCATTTCCAGGTCTAGCTGGTCAGCTGATGGATGTGGCTCAAGCCCCATCCCTCCTTTGCAGTCAGTGTATTCCAGGCCTGTTCATGCTAGGCATGATAACACTGAGCCGTATCTTCAGCCATTTTTATTTTGAGACAACATCTCACTGTGTGGTCCAGGCTGGCCACAGACTTGTGGTCCTTCTCTGGAGTGTTGGATTGCTGGTGTGCACCATCATGTCCAGCTTCAAGCCCTAATTACCTGGTTTGTTTTTCTTGTGTGGCCAGACATCTCCCTGAGTCAGCTCTTCAAGATAATACTTCAGGGTCCATGTTTATTCCTGACCTGCAGAACTTGCAATCCTAGCAACCTATTATGAATTTTAAAAGGAATCTAGAAGTTGTGGGAGGCGCTTCCCATGGAAGTATGATCATGACTCCCCTAAGGCAGCTAAGGTTTTCACTATATCCCATCTTCCCTGTGGGCACTTGAAGGACACTTAGCGCGTGGGTCATTCAAACTCTGCCCAGCCTGGCAATCTGTCATTGTGAGGCAGCCCTATGACCTTCCTGTTCTGACCTTGCCCCAGGGTGGCCCTGTCATAGCCTCTGGAGGCCAAGGACCAGAAAAAAGGCAAGGTGCCAGGCTGACATTCTGAGATCACATGGAGGTACTATTTTCAGCTTCACTTTTTTGTTTTTGTTTTTGTCAGTCCTGGGGCTTGAACTCTGGGCGCTGTCCCTCAGCTTTTCACCTAAAGGCAAGCGCTCTACCACTTGAGTCACAGCGCCACTTCTGGTTTTCTGAGTGGTTTATTGGAGATAAGAGTCTCACGGACTTTGCTGCCCCAGCTGGCTTTGAACCACAATCCTGAGATCTCAGCCTCCTGAGTAGCTAGGATTATAGGCATGAGCCACCAGCGCCTGGCTTTTCAGCTTCACTTTTGAAATGACAATCATGTTTCTTCTGTGCTAGTTTCTTTCAGGTGAGCATGCAGAAACGACAGCCACAGAGCCAACCCCTTGCCCGCCAGCCGCACAGGAAGCCCCGGGGGCCTCGTGGGTAGCACAAGCCGGGGGCTAGGACAGTCCATCTGGAGTGTGGGAAAGGCTCTTGAAACCAGGGTCAGAGGCCCAGATGGAGAAAAAGCCCAGGAAAAGGAGCCCCAGACAGGAGGAGGCAAGGACAGGTGAGGACGTGTGTCCAGGGACTGTCCAGGAGGAGAATGCCTTCAAGTGCAGTGGGTGCAGGAAAGTGTTTAACAAGAAACCTCTCCTTGTTGGACACGAAAAAATCCACTCTGGAGTGAAGCCGTACCAGTGCACAGAATGTGGGAAGATGTTTATCAAGAGCACGCACCTTCTGCAGCACCAGATGATCCACACCGGGGAGAGGCCCTATGAGTGCCTCGGGAAAGCCTTCAACCGCAAGTCGTACCTCACCCAGCACCAGTGCATCCACAGTGGGGAGAAGCCCTACAAGTGTGGGGAGTGCGGGAAGGCCTTCACCCACCGCTCCAACTTTGTCCTGCATAGCCGGCGGCACAGTGGAGAGAAGTCTTTCCTGTGCACAGAGTGCAGACAGGTGTTTCAACACCGGGGAGGGTTCCTGAGACACTACATGGTCCACGGTGTCCCTACAAGTGCTTTGTGTGGGGGAAGGTCTTCAAGCACAGGTCATACCTCATGTGGCACCAGCAGACGCACACGGGGGAGAAACCCTTCGAGTGCAGCGAATGCGGGAAGGTGTTTTGTGAAAGCGCTGCCCTGATCCACCACTATGTCATCCACACGGGAGAGAAGCCCTTTGAGTGTCTCCAGTGCGGGAAGGCCTTCAACCACAGGTCCTACCTCAAGAGGCACCAGCGCATCCACACGGGCGAGAAGCCCTATGTGTGCAGTGAGTATGGAAAAGCCTTCACCCACTGCTCCACCTTCATCCTGCACAAAAGGGCCCACACCGGAGAAAAGCCTTTTGCATGCAAGGAATGTGGGAAAGCCTTCAGCAATAGGGCGGACCTGATCCTGCACTTCAGCATCCACTCTGGGGAGAAGCCCTATGAGTGCATGTAGTGTGGGAGGGCCTTCAACTGAAGGTTGGGCCTCACGTGGCACAAGCGGATTCACAGTGGGGAGAAGTCCTATGAGTGTATCGAGTGTGGGAAGTCATTCTGCTGGAGTACAAACCTCATCCAACATGCCATCATCCACACGGGGGAGAAGCCCTATCAGTGCATGTGGCAAGGCCTTCAGCTGCAGCTCCTCTGTCAGCACCAAAAGAAACACAGAGGGAGAAACCCCGCCTGCAAGGCAGGCGGTGGGAGGACTTTCATGAGCATGCATGCCTCGGTGACCCTCCAGGAACTCCTGGTGGGGAGAGGCTTTGTGAACGGACCCACTGGGGAAAGATTGCCAAAAGGAACATCTTTCTTGGCATCTGGTCATGTATGCCAAAGAGAAAGTCCACAAGTATCTCCCCTATGAGGAATCTTCAGTGACAGTCTTTCTTGTCATCTAAAGACATCTAAAAACCAACTTGGCATAGAGCATTATTCTCATCTGAGACTTTATCTAATTGATGTTCAAGGGTTTTGATCACATAGAAAAATATCTTTAGCTATGTCTCTCTTCTAGTTTACAGTGCAAATTATCTCAGGAATTGTTTTTAAAAGGAGAGGTAGAAAATGCAGTGCAAGCCCTGGTCTCTGGGGAGCAGTCTGCCCAGACTTCGGCCCTCTGTCTGTCTGTCTGACTGGCTGGTATCAGAGGTGAAGGCCTTAGCCTTGCTTTGTCTTAGGTGTGTGTACGCACTTTGCTGCCCGGTGTCAGGAGTGAGACACTCCAGTAGGCTGCAGGTGTCTTACTCATACTTACTGTGTTCTGCAGTAGCTTATTAGGGGGCTTGAGCGATGAAACGCTTTTATGTTTAAAGCAATAATGCACATTTGAATGAACATATTTTATTGTACTGTTATGATCATTTAAGGCTTGAATTGTAAAAGAAGCAAACTTTTGTGTGGTTTTAAAAACCAACCAAAGCTATTATGTTGACTTGTAATCCAACCTTTGGATAGCAGAGAAGGAAAGAGCTACAGTTCTGTGCCAGCCTGGACTACAAAGCTAGACCTAGACTCAAAAGAGAGAAACGCTTGTTCTTGGCCTTCTGTCTGACTGCTGTAGCTGTGTATACCTCTGTTATTTAAAACTGATGTAGCATTTCTAGTTCCTTCCAGCACTGTTGGGCATTTTTTTTTATCAGTTTTCTTGACTCTCCGTCTGCTTCCCTAACCCTCCTCCCTGCTTCATCCCACTTTTCCCCCACTCCCTTTTTGTGTGAGAGACAAAGTCTCCCCATGTCCCAGGCTGTTCCTCCACTCCAGGGCTCACTTGTGAGCCGCTGGTGCTCACAACCACCTGTTCCACTGTACCTGGCTGTATTCTCTGGTCTTTGTCAGTATTTATCCTTTTTTTTTTGTTGTTCATTTCAAACTCATTAGCACTTACATTAGTTTAGGGTTGTTGTGTGTGTTTCCTTCTGTGTTTATTTTTTGGGGCAGTACTAGGGTTTGAACTCAAGACCTCAGCTTTTCTAGGCAGGTGCTCTACAAATGAGCCACTCCTCCAGCCCTTCCGTGCACTGGTTATTTTGTCTCTGGCCTGCTGTTCAAACTTCCTGTCAATAAAATTGAGTGAGTTCAAATTTCAGTAACAGACATTAAATACTGTTTCCTTAAAAAAGCAAAAAGTCAGGGTTGGAAGCATGGCTCAATGGGTAGAGTGCTAGCTAGTGAGAGAAAGCAGCAGGTACCAAGTTAAGAGTTCTGTCTTGGACCTAAAATAAAAGTAATAATTTCAAGGTGATGACCTATGAAAGTGTAACCCCTGTAATTCTGTGATGACAAGGACCATAGAGGTGGGGCACGAGAAAGACCTTGTCTGCCATTTGTGTGTGTGTGTGTGTGTGTGTGTGTGTGTGTGTGTGAAGTCTTGTATTTCTGCAGGACTTACGCATCAAGTACATGGCTGAAAGCTATCTGGTTTGGAGATGCTGTTTTTATTGCACTTTTCTGTATGACACAATGTATAGATCTATGAGAGAGGTCTATGGTGTGTATGGAATGTAAACAGTTTCTCAACTTTCATTGCTGCTATCTGAGCTGTATTCGTTGGCCTCATTGGAGAGAGAGCAACAGGATACTGGCTTGAGTATTCCTGTGTCATTAAATGCAGAAAGCTTAAGAGTGTGACTGCAGTCCTGGTTTCTTTTTCTGGTGAGAGCAGTAGCTGGCCCCAGCTGAGAGGCGGGACTCCCATGGGTGTGAAGGTGGCCTTGTCTGGCGCAGTGGCAGAAAAGAGGCTGCTTCCTGGAATGCTCCGTGGTTTAGTTTTGAAGGCCAAGGATGTTTAATCTGGGCTGGTGATGCAGCCCAGTGGTTGAGTGCACCTGCCGGTGCACTGACTTCAGAGTTGGGATGGCCAGGGTGGCTCTGTGGCAGAATGTGCCCACCTAGGTGATGCGGGGTGCTGGGCCCCATCCTGGCTCCATCTGAACAAAGTTCCTGTGCACTGCTTGGAAGCCGGCATACTAACCTTTGTCTCTGCATCTCTGGCCCCAGAGGTCCAGCTTGCGCCAGCGCCAGGCAATTCCAAGATGCCCAGGCTCCTCACAGCTGTCTGTCCTTACAGGTTCTGTGTGACCTCCCTCCAAAGGCCCTGCAGCCCCGGGACCCGGGGGGCTCAGCGTGGCCCACGAGGCCTCCTGAGCCTGCTTAGTACTGGTACGGCCTTGGGGGTCCGGGAGACTTGGCCCCTTTCCCTGCGTGTCCCGGGCCTCACCAACCTTCTCGTCCGAGCCCTTGATACCCTGCGCCGGCTTCCGGTCCCTGTGAACGAGACGCGAAGCCAGGTGGGCGCCGTGGACCACACCGCCCAGTGCGAGCCGGTGCCCGTGCTGGAGGACTGACCGCCACCCCACCCTGGCCTGGCTGGGAATTCGGCCGGGGTGCGAGGAGGCCGGGTGCGGGGTGTGCGCGAGGTGCAGTGAGGCCAGGCCTTGGGCTCTATGGGGACCTCCGCTGCTGCCCTGGGCAGAGGATCCCTGCTGCCACCCCTGGTTTCGGGACTTGTGGCCCGCACTGGGGCTCCTCCCCACCGTCCCTGGGTTGATTGATTTGCACGCAGGCACACGGATAAGCTTGCGGCCCTCCGCCTGCCCACTCCTCTAAAGTCCATCCACCTGCTACCTTCTTTGATGCCCCCCACCCTCGTCGTCCCCCCTCCCCCCCCACCATGAGGTCCGGCCCCGCTCCCTGGCGCCCCATTGGCCAGTCGTGGGAGGGGTGGGGCAGAAGCTGCTATCTTATTGGACACGCTGCAAAGGGAATCCGGAAACTTGACCAATGGGGAAATCACTCAGGAGCTGCCGGCCCCGCCCTATGAGCCTCAGCTCCTATACAAGTCCCTGCCTTCTCCAGGGGGGTTACCCCGTGTGTGTGGTGTTTCTCCCTTGCTCCCTTGACAGGCCTCAAGCTGGGCTGCTGGTCTCCAAGCCTCGCATGGAGCCGGGCCTGCGGTCCCTGAAGCCTGACCCTCCCTGTTCCTCCTTCAGACACCCTGGACAACTACTTCCATGGCGCTTTGTGCAGGTACCTCGTTTGGAACATGCTCCCCGGGGTGAGCCGTACCAGGAGCTTCAACAAAGCCACACGTTTGACCAGCAGCCGACAGCCAGGGTGAGGGCCTGGGGTGATGACGGGGGAGGCTCTGGTTACCCAGCTGGCCTACGTAGTGTATTTCTAATGTTCTGTTTCAGTACTGGGACTTGAACCCAGGGCCTTGGGCAACAGAAGCAAACACTCTACCAAATGAGCAACAGTCCTAGCCCTTGGTTTTTGGATTTGTCTTTGAACTTACAATCCTCCTGTCTCTGTCTCCAAGTGCTCGGGTTACTGGTGTGGCCACCAGACCTGGCCCTGAGTTTTATTCTGTAAATTTTGCATCATGACCCATTATACACCTGAACAGTGGGCAACTTGATTACTGCTAGTACTACCTCAATACGAATACCTGTGTAAGTGGTTTATCTGGTTGCAGTGGCACTACCCTATCCAAAAAACAACAAAGCAGGCTGTCGGTGGCTCATGCCTGTAATGATAGCTACTCAGGAAGCTGAGATCTGAGGATCACGGTTCAAAGCCAGCCCCATCAATAAAGGCTGTGAGACTTGTCTTCAATAAACTACTCAGAAATAGCTGAAAGTAGCACTGTGGCTCAAGGGGTGGCGGGCTAGCCTTGAGCACAGTGAGGCTCAAGGACAGCACCCAGGTCCAGAGGTCAAGCCCCAGGACCGGCAAAAGAAAAGAAAAAAGAAATGCACGTATTGAAAGATTTCTAGATGGCCCTGGAAAGGGAGCCACAGCAATGTTCATCCAACAGCCGAGGCTGGGTCATCTTGCTAATGGAATGAATGACATTCCATATGACCTCCTGCTTCTCCATTATCCCCCTATGTCAAGTCCTGCTTCTCCATCCCTCACATCACCTCCTGCTTCTCCATCATCCCCCACATCACTTCCTGCTTCTTCATCATCCCCCCACATCACTTCCTGCTTCTTCATCATCCCCCCATATCACTTCCTGCTTCTTCATCTTCTCCGTCATCTCCTGCTTCTCCATCATCCTCTCATATATCCTCCTGCTTCTCTATCACTCCTTCATATCACCTCCTGCTTCTCCATCATTCCCTCATGTCACTTCCTGCTTCTCCATCATCCTCCCATGTCATCTGCTTCTCCATCATCCCCTCATATCTCCTCCTGTTTCTTCATCAGCCTCCTATATCATCTGCTTCTCCATCATTCCCTCATATCTCTTCCTGCTTCTCCATCATCCCCCACATCGTCACCTGCGTCTCCATCATCCTCCCACATCACCTCCCGCTTCTCTATCATCCCATGTCACCTGCTTCTCCATCATCCCTCATGTCACCTCCTGCTTCTCCATCATTCCCTCATATCACCTCCCACTTCTCCATCATCCCCTCATATCTCCTCCTCCATTATCCCCCATGTCACCTGCTTCTCCATCACCCCCTTATATCTCCTCCTTCTCCATTATCCCCCATGTCACCTGCTTCTCCATCATTCCCTCATATCACCTCCTGTATCTCCATTATCCTCCTTGTCACCTGCTTCTTTATTATCCCCCATATCACCTGCCCTCCATCATTCCCTCATAACACCTCCTGCTTCTCCATTATCCCCTCATATCACCTCCTGCTTCTCCAACATCCCCCCAGGTCACCTGCTTCTCCATCATTCCCTCATATCACCTCCTGCTTCTCCATTATCCCCCATGTCTCCTCCTGCTTCTCATCTCCCATATCACCTCCTGCTTCTCCATCATCCCCCCCATCACCTCCTGCTTCTCCATCATCCCCCACAAGTTTCCTCTGCTTCTTTATCATTCCCTCAGGATTAAGGTTTCTGGGAAGCCATTGGATCAGTGGACATTCTGTATCTGGCTATTTTCTGTGACTACTGGGGGAACCTGTCTGTTTTCAGCTTCCATCCTATAAGATCATGTGAAGTGGGGAAAGGAAATCCCTGACAATAACTATGCTTGCTAGTAAAGAGGAGAGACTGAAGGGAGTAACCAAGAAATTAAATTCCACTGCAGTGGAACTGGAGATCACCAGGTTGCGAGAAACAAACCAGACCAAGGAAGACAAATATCACATCTATTGTCTCATGAAGAATCTAGACCTAAACCAAAAAATGACATGAATGCAAAATGGTGTTTTTGGTTTTTGTTTTTTTGAGAGAAGGGAATCAGAGGGTGAGATGTATCAAATAAAATCAAAGTACTGTATATACATTTATGAAAATAGAAAAGTGATGAGTAGTAGAGGTGGTGAATATGATGAAAATATACATATATTCATATATATGAATGGAAATAGCATAATAAATCTATCTTTGCAATTCATACATACTAATAATACACTGACAGTAGACACACAAATAGAAAAGTAGACTGGAGAGGAGAGGGAAAAATTAATGAGTAAAGAGATTTTGTTTAGCCAAGTGCCCATGGCTCATGCCTGCAATCCTAGCTACTCAGGAGGCTGAGATTTCAGGATTGCAGTTCAAAGCCAGCCTAGGAAGGAAAGTCTGTGAGACTCTTATCTCCAATGAACCACCAGAAAACCAGAAGTGGCACTCTGGCTCAAGTGGTAGAGTGCCAGCCTTGATCTGAAGAGCTTAGGGACAGCACTCAGGCTGAGAGTTCCAGCCCCATGACTGACAAAAAAAAAAAAAAAAAAAAGATTTTGTTTGAGTTGATAAAAAAAGGTTCGGAAAGCAGTGATAATGTTTGCATGAATGTTCATAATGACATTGCCCACTGAAAAGGTCCATGGTGGTTGGTTTTGTAATTGGCATAACAATTAATACATTAAAATTTAAAAATCCTAGTGTGTTCTTCTTAATTGGAAGCAGTGCAAGAAGGTTTTCCTTCGGATTGCTTTGACTTTGTTCACACAGAAAAGGGAGGAGTTGGCCGATGACCTGGCCTATTGCCACGACAGGAAGGTGATTCACAGGCTTATTAAGCCAGAGAACCTGCTGCTGGGTGTCAGTGTGAGGTGAAGATTGCAGACTTGGGCTGGCCTGTGCACACCCCCTCTTGGAGGTAGATCAGGGTGGGCCCCTCCTGCACAGAACACCCAGATACAAACCTGGCTTTGTGTTTCAGTATTACTTTTTTTTTTTTGTCAGTCCTGGGCTTGAACTCTAGGCCTGGGCACTGTCCTTCAGCTCTTCAGCTCAAGGCAAGCACTCTACCACTTGAGCCACAGCGCCACTTCCAGCTTTTTCTGCTTATGTGGTGTTGAGGAATCAAACCCAGGGCCTCATCATGCAAGACAAGCACTCTACCGCTAAGCCACCTTCCCAGCCCTCAGTATTACCTTTTTGAAACACCTAAAATATACTTATCCTTTTATTTGGGGAGGAGGAGAGGCTACCGGTGTTTGAACTCTTGGCTGTGCATTTAGTAGACAAGTACTCCACCATTTGAATCATGCTGCTAGTCTCCAAATCTTTTTTGATGCTGGAAATCTGTTTCATGAAGGGATTCTGGATGCTGAGCTAAATAATTGGGTGGTAATCTCAAAACAAGGACTTTTCAAGTCCCCTGTCCTCTTTTCAGAACCTGGAAATTGAGGCTGCCAACAGGTTCTGTTACCTCACTGAAGCCGGGGGAAGGGGACTTGGCTCATTCTGGGCCTTGGCACAATGCTTCCTGTGGTGTGCTGCAGGAGAAGGACAATATGTGGGACCCTGGACTATCTGCCCCCAGAAGTGGTTGAGGGGAGAACCTATGGTGGGAAGGTGGATCTATGGTGCATCAGAATGCTCTGCTCTGAGTTCCTGGTGGGAAGACAACCCTTTGAGAACACCTCTCAAAATGAGACTGCGCATTCTGCAGGTACAGTAGCCACACTGGGAATTTATGGAGGGAGCTGGTTGGTGATAGCTTCTGGGCCTGCAGAGAGGCCCATAGAAGATTATGCACTGCCAGACCTGCCTATAATCCCAGCTATTCTGGAGGTGGAGGATTGAGAATTCAAAACCAGCCCAGGCAAAAGATAGTGTGACTGTCTCAAGAACAAAATAAAAACAAAAAGGCTAAGGACATAGCTCAAGTGCTTTGCCTTCACAGCATGCTGAAGCCCTAAGTTTAGTGTTCATTCAGAATTGGGGGGGGTTTATCTGTTAAGATCCAGGTGTGTTGGGGCACGCTTGTAATCCCAGCCCTCAGGAGTTTGAAGGAGGATCATGAGTTTCAAAGCCAGCTTTGGATATATAACAAACCCTGTCTCAGAAAAACCCTGTCTCCCCCGCCAAAGAGGAATGCTCTGAAGTGACTTCACGCATGAGAACATTAACCAAAGTTAACAGAACTTCTTGTTCCCTGGTCTGGTGAGGTGAATGTGAGGTGTCCCCCTCTATGCCTGCGGGGACCCAGGATGTGACCTCTACTCTTCTTAGGCACTAGCCCTCAGAGCTGCTGCCCCTGGGCCAGACCCTGCAGCATGGAACGGAGCCCATCCCGCTGAGTACTGCCTCCCTCTGCGTAGAAGACTTTGGAGCCACATCTCCCTCTGTACCGGCTCAAGGAGCTCACCCCTTCTGCCACCTCCTGTCCTGTGCTTTCTTTCAACACGCTGATTAGTAAAAACGGAATCATTTAGTTTCAGTCTTTTCTGATGGTGTGTGAATTGGTGTATGGCAGTGCCTGAGGTTTGCATTCAGGGTGTCATGCTGGCCGGACAGGTGCTCTACCATTTGAGCCACTGATCAGACCTTTGTGTATATGCATGGGGGCGGGGAGAGGGAGTATTTTTGAGACAGGGTCTCACTTTATACCCAGGCCAGCTGGGATCCCTTTCGTGCTTCCGCTGGTCGTTGGGATGACAGCACGTGCCTCTCTACCCAACAGCCATCGGCGGAGACGGAGTCTCGGGAACTAAGCTGTGCTGCTCCGTGGTTCTCCTTTCCTCCGCATCTGTGGGTCCGCGCTCGAGGCAGTGAATATCCGTCTGCCCGCCCCGCAAGCCCTCCGGTGCCGCGAGGACACGGGTCACAGACTTCCGGGATGGACGACGGTGCAAGAACTACGCTACCCAGAAGGCATTGCGCGCGCGCCTCTGGCGCGTCGGACCGCGGGGCGCGGACGTCACTCCGGCGCGCCGGCTCTGTCCGCACCGGCTGTGGGGCGCGCGGCTGGGTCTCCGTTCGCTTCTCGCCGGTCTGGTGCGCCAGGAGCGTGAGGAGAAGGGCGCTGTCCTCCGCTCCTCCGCGTTCCTTCCGGGCGCTGAGGCCACGCACCGGGGGACGGCGCCGGCGGGGCCCAGGATGGCAGGGA